TACCGGTATACAGACATTAAATTTTTCCATTGCCCAATCCCTCATTCAAATCGTGTACTTCCCTACCCGTTTACCTCGCAAAAGCGAGCAAGAGGCTTCTCTAGTGGATCTATTTCGTACCTTCTCTCCACGATCTTGCCATGCTTCGCAATACTGCCCTCTGGGTAACTCGGACCACTCTGTGGTAGCTATTGATATCTCCTTCCAGGTATCTATTAAGCAGGACCACCCTATCCAATGCTGAATTGGTTCATCATCTCTCATCACAAGGTTTTTCTCAGACAAGCAATACGGTTTTCGTTTCTCCAGGTCAACTGCTGATGTACTAACAATAATTGCGGAAAGAATCTATCATGCTCTAGATAAAATGGTGAAGCTTGGGCTATAGCATTGGACATCTCGAAAGCCTTTGACAGGGTCTGGCATTCAGGCCTTCTCCCCAAGGTGAAAAGTTACTGTATCTCCGGGAATATTTTTGAGATGATCCAGTCATTTCTATCAAATCGTGAAATGAAAGATGTCATGAAAGGCCACTTGTCTACATTCTTTCCAACTAACATGTCCCCCCCCCCACCAGAGCTCTGTCCTTGGTCCTATGCTCTTTTTAATCTTCATTAACGACCTTTCTAGTGACATTAACTCTCAACTTGGCATCTCTGCTGACGACACTACCATTTACTCTTGCCTCGATACTAAGGCTGATTGGTCCGACAAGGTCAGAATTGCAGCTGGTGTCCAAAATGACCTGAAGACACTGGAGCAAAAGATGGCTTGTCAATTTTAATGCATCCAAAACTAAACTTCCCTCCATTAATCATCTGTAAGATCTCTCTCTGCCTTCTATCAGCATGGCTGATGCTATCCTCCAGGAAAGTGACTCATTGCGCCTCGCTTTCTCGAGCTAATGTTCTCAGTGACATAAGATGGAAAGACTATATTGAATCCATTTTTAGACCAGCTCCTACGAAAGTTGATTCACTGTATTGGGCAAGACAATTCTTCTCACTTGAATCTATCTTGTATATCTATAAGTTTGCCATTCAGCCATGATTAGAATATTGCTGCCATATATGGTCCGGTGCCCCTGCTATTTATCTGGAGCTCCTTGATGAGATCCAAAGAAGAATCAGCAATATTGTTGGCCCTGATCTGGCGACTCAGCTTCAGTCACTTGCCCACCACAGTAAGGTTGCCTCTCTGTGCCTTTTTTTATAACTAATTTTGTGGTAATTGTTCAGATGAGCTCTTTGTTATGGTGCCTAGATAGTATGAATTTAAGTGCAAGACTGGTAGCGAGATCACATCAATTTAAATTATGAGTTAGCTAGATGTAACCGTAGCTTCTATGATGTCAGTTTCTTTTCATTGCACTTCTCAATTGTGGAACTTCCTTCTGGCTCCGTGCTTTCCAGCCAACTTTAATATGCAAGAATTTAAATGCTTTCTACTGTCCTCCTCAATGCTCTTTTCTCTTTCTACTCATTACTAATGTTTCTGTTCCTGATTCCACCATATCCTGTAACCCCTTGCGTGTTAGCGAGTGTACTGCCTTGCTTGGGGGTTATACCGATTAAAGAGACAAAAAACAATTTAAACTCTAAAATGTCACCTAGCTGCCAACCTAATATATATATATATATATATATATATATATATATATATATATATATATAATTATTTGTGTCTGCTGACGAGTGGGCAGAGTGATTACTAGAGGTTCCACCTACGAAATTCCAAATGCTGAAAATAACATCAATCACCGAAGTGACAAATTGTTTATTTGTATTAAAGACATATATATATGTGTGTGTGTGTGTGTGTGTCATTTTTAACTTATTTTGTTTAAACGTTATTATTGATAGATACTCATATTCTAGTAGAAGCTCTGTCTTTTGATTAAACAGTTTGTTTTTTTTATCCTACTACATCTACCGCCCTGAATATTCGAGGAATATTGTCAGAAAAATATGCGCCCCCCGCATGATTTGAACCTGCATCCTCTATGCCTGACCGCTTGGCCACACAAGCAGGAGAAGCCATTCATGTCTACCTCCTGCAACCTCCTTGGTTATTATGTGTGGGGCACAGTTGAGCGGGGGACCAACAAAACTCCTTGTAATACCAAAGACAAACTGAAGGCAAGGATTATGGCAGCAGTCACCAACTTGAACAAGGAGACCGTCCAGAAATATTGCACGTCTGCATGCCGTGGTTGAAGCCAATGGCGATTTTATTGAATAAATTTACTCTTTAGTATTTTAATATATTTTTATGTAATTTTGTTAAATATATCTGTTAAAATTTATCCATCTCTCTGTCTCTCTCACTCCCCCCTCTCTCTCTCTCTCTCTCTCTCTCTATATATATATATATATATATATATATATATAGGATTAGTATGAGTAAAAGTTTGGCACTTAGCTGGTTGTTTTTACCTTCAGTATCTCGACTCTAAAGTTTCGTAGACAAACTCGTCCCTCCACTCTTCAAAGGGTATCAGCTATTTACATTTATATATATATATATAATTATATTTTTCGTTTCTTTGTTTTTTTCCTTATTAATAGTAGTAGTAGTATATATATATATATATATATATATATATATATATATATATATAGTTGCTAAACACACTAGTCGGTCCACACACACAAACAAACGGAACCGTCAGTTGATCTGATGTGCTATACCACTCAGCGACAGAGAAACGTCTGGTTAGTAAAGTTATTGTTTATAAACAACAAATCTTCGGCGATCTTAAACGTATCTTAAACGAAAGTATCTTAAGGTAAAAAAATGATAACATATAATGAAATGTATTAGGTCCAACAATTATTTAATAGATTTTCTGTTTATCCGTTCTTTTAATAGATACAATTTATTTAAGTAAATGCTCGGTATTTTAATGAAACTTTTAAACATTTACCGGCCTGAATGTTCGAGAAATTTCGTTGAAATACTTCTCCGCTGTTGCTATCACACCCAAATCATTTATCCCCCCCACCACCACCATTTCATACTCCTTTTAAATTTTGGAAATATTCAGAGAGAGAGAGAGAGAGAGAGAGAGCAAGACCTGTCGGATAGTGTGGCTCGATTTCTTCAAAGCATGCATCCTCTAGTCAGACTTGGATGCAGTTGCATCGCCCTGGAAAAAATCCCCCACCACCACCATTTTACTTTCATTGCTGCTTTTAATTGGCAAGTTAATTTTCTGCATTAACAGTTTGACTATTATGAGGAGAGTCAAAATATCTTCCTTCGGAAAAAAGGTGTGGTCAGCCATGACTTACCTTGTTGACTCGTGAATTGAATCTCTTCAACCGTGGATAACCTGAACGCCGCCATTGTATGGACGGCTGTTTGATTTCCGAATCAGAATGGTGTAACCATGTTTCATTAACAGTTACAAGAATGAAAAACAAGTCATTTCATGATTATGGAAAACACTACAAGATCAGCTTGAAAAGATACACTTGGTATCGTTTCTGATCTGCCTTCAGACATTCCAGCAACCACTTGACTAACAGCTTCTGTATACCCAGAGAGCCATGAATTATGATCCCAATACATACCGCAGAACTGTGATCGAAATTGTCCGATCAATGAAAAATAGTTCATGAATCTTCTTCTATATACCGTGTCCCTTCAGGATGTTGGCGATCATGGCTCTCTACAATTCCCTGTCCTTTGTAGCTCTTAATAAATTTGTTTTCTTGTTATCTCTTCTAAACCTTGTTCTGCCATCCATTTACTCAAGCTCTCTAAGTAGGTTATGCGTTGTTTACTTCTGTTTTACTCCCTTTGCCTTCAATCTGTCCTGTGAGCATCAAAATTTCTAAGCCCTCTTTCCTCATTACAAAGCCGATAAATTTCTCTTCGTGAGGTTAAGTATAAGAGTTCTTTTTGGTTCCATTTTCTCTATAATTTCATCGTTGCTCACAAGTTCAGCGCATGATATTCGCGGCGTAACTAAAACCAAATTGGGTCGTCAGGTGTTGACTTTCATAATACAGGTGAGAACCTAATTAGTAAAATATTAATTAGCACTTTCATTATTATGGATCCAAATTTGGATAACCGTGTGCGGTGGGTGGAGGGTATTAACTTTTCTGTTCCCATTGTCTATTAATATGCGATATACGCCGGTGCTTTTAAATGTGTTTCTGGTTCCAAACTTCTTTCATGACACTGCGATTTTTTTTTTTTTTTTTGAATTCGTAGAAAACATATGCTATTTATTTAAAAAAAAAAATCCAGCCTCGATCTTAAGCAATTATTACGCATGATTTTTAAGAGTGGAATGGCTAAACTTCCACTGCCATACAACAAACATCTGAGACTATTTAATAAAAATAGAAGGCAATAATTTCGATGCGACTATCATTACAAAGCACGCTTTGCTATCGTATTTCCTTAATTATCGAAATATGGAAAATCACACTGACTTGTAAATCAGCATTCGAAATCCTGTGCTTTGCTCGAACATATATATCAAAATTCTCTAACTATAACAAAATAATCTACCTATAACAAGAAAAGCTTAGATTAATCTGACTCAGGACTACAGGTATGGTGCGTTTAGTTTGAAACTACCAACAATAGTAAATACCTGTAGAGCTTGGTTGCCAAGGATTGTTCACGGTTATCACTGTTCTTAAGTTTAACTAAAACAAACTACGAGGCCACAGATATAGGGTCGAACTTACAACCTAAGCAAATAGTGTGCTTTGTTAGTTTGCTTACCACTATTCCACGGCAAAGAACACAATTCCCCCGCATGTAGATAGACACATGACAGGTGATATACAGAAATTGCTCTTTCAAGGATTGAGAGGGGCGAAAAAAGTAAATGTTTCGTTTTATGAGTCGAGCGACCGGTTATTTATAGTGCGCAACACATTACATTCTGTAAGCATGTCTGTTGGGTTGCATCTGTTGGGTTGCATCTGTGGGCAAAAAAAAAAATAAATAAATAAAAGGAGAAGGATGAGAAAAGATTAACAGGAAGAAAAACAAAGGAAAGAAGAGATAAAAGAAGAATTGACGGTCAAATAAAAAAAAAAAGAACAAAGAAATAGGAGATAAAGAAATAGAGAAAGAGAGAGAGATAGATAAAGAGAAAGGCTGGAATGAGAAAGAAAGAAAGAAAGAAAGAAAGAAAGAAAGAAAGAAAGAAAGAAAGAAAGAAAGAAAGGAATAGGAGGAAAAGAAAGAAAGAAATTCGAAAGATTTAAGAAAAATGAAAAATGCTTGCAATAGAAGGAAATACAAAGAAGAAAATAAAAAATGTAAGAAAAAGAATGAAATTTGACAAGAAGGAAAAAAAATTCAACAAAAAAGAAATTCGACAAAAAGACCAATAAATGCGAGAAAAAAAAAGAAATTCGACAAAATACAAAAAAAAAACTTGACAAAAAAGAAAGAAAGAAATTCAAGTAAAAAAAGAAAAAGTCGACAAAAGAAATTCGTCAAAAAGAAAGAAAGAAATGTGAATGAATAAATGAATGAAAAAAAAGCAAACAAATCCTGCGAAAGCAAAGCCTGGAAGAAGCAGACAAATGACATTTTTTTACAGTATGATTCACCCTGTACAAGGCTCGGAGGCCACTCGAAGTAGAGGAATACATTAAGGGGTTGTTTATACAGATAGGAGGGAAAGATAACGTTTAACTCTAGATTTGAACAGGTTAAGATTGTAGTGATCTATGAAACATGTTCTTGGAAATCTGTTCCACAGAGCAGTGCTTCACGAGAAGAAGCTGTTTGAATGGGACTTCTGGCCGATGCAATACAGAAAGAATGTGAATGGTTTGCTACAATGTAAATAGCATGACGGGTCGGAAAGGTTAGACCTTTGTTGGAACCAGGAGATGTAGTTCGTCTATGGACTTTTCCATGGTAGTAGCGATGGAGCAGCTAGAGACTCGCCACATCGAGAGGTTGGAGTGTGGAAATTCTTTTCCAACAAGGACACGGAGGCGCTTTTGAACTTTATCAAAACTGGAAAGTGAGGTCTGGGCAGCTCCTGCAGAAATATGACAACAATACTCCCTTTTGGGTCTGATCTGGCTCTTATAAAGGTGGAAAAAAAGATAGCATATCCTAAAGTGACGAAAAAGAAAGAAAAAAACAAGAAATGTTTGGAAAGATAAAGAAAATGTCGAGAATATTCAATCATGACAGGAAAAAATTGTATTGTCGCCACATCACACTTATTTTGTGTGGCGTAGCGACAATATTTTTAATTATTGATCTACTCACTATTTACATTTTTTATTTGGGTTAATGTCTGAGCCAACAAAGCGGCAATGTCATTTTTAATATATATTTGTCGATAATTTTTAATCAATTCACGATAATGCCACTAAGACGCGTGTTTGCTGCTGGGGGTGAAAAAATTGAAAAGACTTTATAAGGAACCTGAAATCCAATCCCAAACAGAGAACAAGGGATAAACCTCTACTCCTGTTGATAAGACCAAGAAGGAGTGTGAACCGGACAATAGGCGACCCTGTCTACTTCTATTATCTTTTGACTGTAATTTCTTAAATACTTTTTTTTACTAAAAAAAAATCACTCAATGCAAGAGCCACTCAAAGTACAATATTACTGAGTTTGGTTTGTTTTCAATGGGTTCTTTAATACTGACAAAATTTTTATCGCTGGTAATATTTTTTCCCCCAAAAATATATTCCTGGTAACATTTTTTCCTTCAAAAAAGCGTTGCTGGTAATGTATTGCTGGTAATATTTTTTTGCAAAATAGTATTTCTGCTATTAAAACCTATGTTTGCACTTCCATAGTGTTTTGACTCCAGTTTGGGGTTAACTATGTGCCCATAGATGGAACCCTAACAGGTGCTACTACCCCGGGTCAGGATGGACCTGGGAACACCAGCAATTAAGAGGTGATTCAACGCTCATCAAAACCTCCTGAACAGAGGCCTTGCTGTCGGATGTTGTTTATCGCCATACCCAGGAAGGGAATGTTACTGAGTGAACTTGTGGTATTAGCCAAAGAGGACTGATTGACTGATTTGTTTGTTTACAGGTTTGCATTTGCAGTTTTTTAAAGCCTGAAAATATTTTTAGATTGTACGAATATTTTAGAGATGATGATAATAATTTACAGTTTCATGTTCTACTATTTAGGTAGGGATAGAATAGATGGATTCATGCCTTTCCTAAGGTTATTTGCTCATAAGAGAATATAATGAACCTGATTGGAATTAGAACTCGGTTCTCTGAATTCCAATTCAGAGCTTATAGCACCTGGCATTCCCGAGCAGTCACCCATCTAGAAGTGGATCTTAGAATTATCAAATATTAAAACTGATCCACAAAAGAAGTTCACTGTGTTTATTATAACAGAACATAGAAATTGCACAAAAAAAATCAAAAAATTACTTCATATGTAGGGTATAGAGCTATTTCAACCAACCAGAAGTACGTTAGGCTTATTCTCAAGGACACATGGACCAGTGTATAACGACGTTGGTTAAATCTAGTGACTAGCTACTAGTGATATGATAGCTGTCTATATCTCTGAGATGAGGTATTATGATTACTTATATTATTTACATTATTCAGACTGTTATCCTCATCTTCATTACCATATTCACAAGGACACATGGCCCAGTGGATAAAGACGTTGGTTAGATCCAGTGACTAGCTTCTAGTGATATAATGGCTGTCTATATCTCTGAGATGTGGTATTATGATTACTTATATTATTTACATCATTCGGACTGTTATCCTCTTCTTCATTGCCATATTCACAAGGACACATGGCCCATTAGATAAAGACGTTGGTTAGATACAATGATTAGCTTCTAGTGATATAATGGCTGTCTATATCCCTGAGATGAGGTATTATAATTATTTACATTATTCGGACTGTTATCCTAATCTTCATTGCCATATACACAAGGACTCATGGCTAAGTGAATAAAGACGTTGGTTAGATCTAGTGACTAGCTTCTAGTGATATAATGGCTGTCTATATCTCTGACATTATAATTATTTACATTATTCAGACTGTTATCCTCATTTTCATTGCCATGTTGTAGTCTTGTTACGTGAGCGCTCAGTCTTGTGGCTGTGATAGTCTTTTTTCTTTGTAACTGAAACCAAGTGTCGGTGTTCAAGATGTAAAATTCAGTATTTAGAATATGGATTCTCAAGGTTCAACACATTCGGGAAGCAGAAACTTCCGATTCGTATTTATTTATCTCTTGTTTACCCGATTGGAGGCTATGCTAATTTAATTAATAGTGTTAGCCAGCATCTATCCACCATGTGCTTTATAGATCCACATCCGCGCCATGTTTCTAAGACTTACCTATCAAGTAGTTTTTATTTTACGGGATGGAGTTTCTATTCCCACACTAATGCACCTTCTTTCGGTCTAATGTTCACTTCCTGCAGAATTGCTCTCCAGTAGAATCAACCCTATTTGTTTAAATCTATTGAGGTTTTTGTTTGACATATATAGTGTCTTCATCTCATGTCTAACCATCTTTATACATCTTCAGGTGGCCGGATTTTGATTTCAGCTGTACCTCTTCTAGACCACTGATTCCCAACGTGGGGCGCAAGCCCCACCGGTGGGGCATGGTAATATTTTGGGGGAGCATGTGTAGGATGTGCACCTTTCGGCTTACTGTACCAACAGAATACGGGGGCAATTCGAGAATAAGTGAATTGTTTTCTAGTGAGTCTGAGATGAGAGTGTTAATTTTAATGCGTGTTAATACATACGATGCATATACAGTATGCATACATAAAAATATTTTGTGTGTATGTACGTACATGTGTAATTGGCTTACAGGGTATTTCCCATCTCCACACACATGCGTGTCTCGGTAAACAAAGGAGAGGGCGTGATTCATGTCGCTGGAAGAGCCCATGTTTTATCGACCAATCAGCGCGGGTTAGCATTCAGTTTGCTTCCTTCATGTGAACTGCAGTAAAATTTTGAATATGTAAGAATTAAAACGAAGATTGTCCACGTCTACCTCTTATATGTAGATATAATAGGCCGCTTAAAAAAATTTGGGGTGGTCAGTGGTGCATTATGGGTAGGTCTGTTTGCATTATTCTAATGGTTATTGGGTGGACGGTAACGGCTTTGTTTAATTAACAAACTACGAATGCACACATAAACACACGTAAACGTAATAAAAAGAATCAAAATAATTAAGTAATCAATAATAAATTAAAAAAAAGTTAACAAACGACACTATAAAGCTGTATTCAGATCCATAATTATTTCCACTCAATAGGCACTAGAGTAATTTGAAACATAAACGTTACTGCCCACCCAATAACGGTTAAAATCATACAATAGACATACCCATAATGCACCCATGACCAGCATATATCGAGCGAAAACACGACATACATGGCCTGAAGACTGAGCTTAAACATGAAAGAGACTTTCGCCGCTGAGTGTTGACGTCAATGTCCATTTTTATATTTAGATACGCTCTATCCCTGATACTGAGCACTTTAACCCATAAATATAGTGTACCTTAAAACAATATTTTTATCATATAATGTCTGTGTGTGTGTGTGTGTGTGTGTGTGTGTGTGTGTGTGTGTGTGTGTGTTAACCCTGTTGGCTGCCGTGTGGCGTGTAGGGCTGCAACTTATTACTGTAGTTTTTTGCATAGTTGAGTTGCTAGTCCCACAGCCAACCAGATTTGAATTCAAAGTTTCCCTTCTCCGAGGCTAGAGAACCCAGTCTACTCTGCTGGGTAATGAAAAGGGTGAATTCATGCCTTCTCCTGTACATGTGCGAAAGCGAATAGAAAAACCTCGACTGGAATGTGAACTCAGCACTCCAATCCATCTTTCGGTGCTCATAGCCGCTACGCTCCGTGTATATCCACAAGTTGAATGAGTAAAAATCTCAGGCAGTTTCTGTTTTCAGAAATAGAGATTAAATATGCATAGAAAACTGTTTTCTAATATATTTTTTTATTTATTTTAATTAATAATAATAAAAAAAAAAACAAATAACGCCGAAATCTTTAAATTTGCCCTAAAAAAAAACAAAAGTATAAACCCCTACCGTTCACTATCTGTAAGAATAGTTTTCAAAAACTGCAAAATATGTAAGCCTGAACAACATTACTTTAAAGTGGATTATCTTAGCAGATTGGGTAAAGAAAGATGTTACCGGTTAAAATTATCACAGAATAAGGTTTGTGGCGGTAAGAATGTTTGACATAACTGAAAACGAGTTGTGCAACATTAGCGTCTTCCACTTTTAGCGTCAAAGTAGTTTGCCTTATAGTATTTAAGCAAGTGCTCACGTGTGCTCCAATAGGAGTTGTAATTTACGTTAACCTTCCAGGGTCCTTGTTACTCGTCACTTGTCTATTGTGCTTGCGTGAGCTACAAAATTTCCTGCCGGCGGCGCTTGTCTCCTCTCCACGTCGTTATTGTAAACAATTCTACTTTCTTCTCAGGTAAGCTTAAACCATATATACAGACACACAAACACAATACAGACATACGCACAACACATACGCGCGCACACACACACACACACACATATAT